TGCAGGCATTAAGGCTTACAACTTTTGTCTTTCTCAATCCCTAACTCAAATAATCAACTTTCCAACTCGCTTTCCAGACAACCCAAATCATTTACCTTCTCTACTCGACTTATGTTTTGTTTCTGATCCTAGTCAGTGCTCAGTTTCTTCACATTCACCCTTAGGCACTTCTGATCACGGTTTGGTCTCTCTAAAACTATTATCTCATTCTTCTTTACCATCAGAATCCCCCTAACATCGTACATCTTACAACTACCTTAAAGCTGACTGGGACTCTTTCTGTGATTTTCTTCGTGATGGCCCCTGGGTAGAAATCTTTCGTCTTCCTGTTGACAGATGTGCTTCTTACATAACTTCCTGGATTCAGACTGGCATGGAATCCTTTATTCCCTCTCGACGATTCCAGGTCAAGCCTCACTCTTCTCCATGGTTTTCCTCACATTGTGATGCTGCAATCGCCAATCGAAACCATTACTTCCATATCTATCAGCAAAACAATTTTCCAGAAAACAGGCGTCTATTTATTACTGCTAGGAACCATTGTAAAAAGGTTTTGTCTAATGCCAAAGCCCGCTATTCTCAGATCATGAAATCTCGTATTTCATCACAAAAATTAGGCTCTCGTGACTTCTGGAGAATCTTTAATAGTATCAATAATAAGGGCAAGTCTGTAATTCCACCTCTTTTGTATGGTTCAGACTTTGTCACCTCACCTAAAGACAAAGCTGAATTGTTTGCCAAGAACTTTTCATCAACATCATCTCTTGATGCAACTAGTTACATTCTACCTGATATAGCCGTCAAACAGGTTGATCCATTGCTCGACATTCGTATCACTCCAGCTTCTGTATCTAAAGTGATTTCCCGCTTAGACTCTTTTACAGCTTGCTGCCCGAACAACATACCTGTTATAGTCTTGCAGAAGTTTTCTCCGGAGCTGTTGTCTATCCTTTCAAAACTATTTAACAAGTGCTTATCAGAATCTTGTTTTCCAGCCTGCTGGAAAGCAGCATCTGTTATCCCTATTTTTAAAAATTCTGGAGAGGGATCTGATTCGTCTAACTACCATCCCATTAGTCTTCTTCCTATCATAAGCAAGGTTTTTGAATCTTTAATTAACAAACACTTAATCTCTCATGTCGAATCTCATAACCTACTTTCTGATCATCAATATGGATTTCGATCTTCTCGTTCTACGGCTGATTTGCTATCAGTAATAACCGATAGGTTTTATCGAGCATCAGATAAAGGTGGAGAGGTTAAGGCAATTGCTTTTGACATTTCTAAAGCGTTTGATAAAGTTTGGCATGCTGGACTTCTCCATAAGCTTTCTTCTTACAGTGTATCTGAAAACATCTTTAAGATTATTGAATCCTTCCTTTCCAATCGTAGTATAAAAGTTGTCCTTGTTGGACAGCACTATTCTTTTTATTCTGTAACCTCAGAGGTTCCTCAAGGTTCAATCCTTGGCCCTATACTCTTTTTAAATTACATTAACGATCTTCCAGATATTTTCACATCTAAGGTGGCATTGTTCGCTGATGATACTACCATTTATTCTTGTCACAATAAGAAGCCAACTCCCTCTGATTGCTTACAGGGGGCATCTGAGTTTGAAAAGGATCTCACTTCTGCTACAGCATGGGGCTCACAGTGGCTGGTGAACTTTAATTCAGATAAAACTCAATTTTTTTCGGCCAATCGTTATCGCAATAGTTTAGACCTTCCTATATTTATGAGCGGTAATGTACTTGATGAGTCTCCTACCCTTCATTTTCTAGGATTAACTCTTACTTCTGATCTTTCTTGGAAACCTTATATCAAATCCATTGCAAAATTAGCATCTGCTAAAGTTGCTTCTCTTTATCGAGCTCGTCACTTTCTTACTCTGGATTCTATTCTCTATCTATATAAATCTCAAATCCGGCCTTGTATGGAATACTGTTGCCATATCTGGGGCGGATCTTCTAATGATGCCCTTTCTCTTTTAGACAAGGTGCAAAAGCGCATTGTAAACATAGTTGGACCTGCTCTTGCAGCCAACCTTCAACCTCTGTCACATCGTCGTAATGTTGCTTCTCTTTCTCTTTTTTACAACTACTATAAATGGCACTGCTCTAAAGAGCTAGCATCTCTTGTGCCATCTACTAAAATTCATTCTCGTGTTACTCGTCATTCTATTAAGTCTCATCCTTTTTCTGTTACTGTTCCTAAGTGCTCCAAAAACTCTTATTCGTCTAGTTTTTTTTCTCGAACATCAGTTCTTTGGAATTCGCTTCCTTCATCTTGCTTTCCTGATTCATATAATTTGCAATCTTTTAAGTCGTCTGTCAATCGTTACCTTGCTCTACAATCTTCATCTTTTCTCTTCCAGTAACTTCCAACACTAATTAGTGGTTGCTTGCAGCCTTGTTGGTAGCAAAGATAATTAAAAAAAAAAAAAATGAACTTTAAAGAAAAAATCAAGTTTTTGGTTTTAATAAAATATGTTAAAGATAAGGCAGAAAGAACAATTGAGACTAAAATAATAACTAAAGCATGAAGAAAAATGTTTTACAGAATGTTGGAGTTGAATAATACCATATATATAAAATGTAGAATAAAAATATATAAAAATAATTAAACTCAACTTCACTTAAATAATTTAAATAAAATGTTTAAATTGAACTTCAATATTGATATTGAAGTATCATATCCAGATATGATAATGATAACATATCCAGATATATCTAGATATGTTTTATTAGAGTTAAAGCTTTATTTTCACTTTTTCTTTTGCTAGTCTTGTGGAAAGAGTGGTTGGCTAAATAAAAAAGGGGGGTTAGTTGTTTTAATTTTCATTTTGTATTATTTACTTTTGATAATTTTTGGAAAAAATTTCTCAACTTCCTAATCATTTTAATTTTTTTTTAAGCCAAAGAGGAGATAAGTCAATTCAGCGGCGTTGGGTTGAATTTGATGGATATGATTTAAAATATTATAAGGTAGAAATTATCTTATACTTTTTCAACCCTTTTTTTTTAATTTATAATATTTTTGCAGCCTTAGAAAGGTGAATTTAAATTTAAAAGATATTTATACAATTTATAAAGCAAAAACAAAATAATTTATATTATCGACTTTTTGTAATTGTAATTTTTTTTTTTTTTTTTTTCAGGAAAAAAACAGTTTTCCAAAGCAAACTATACCTCTGTCTAGAATGATCGATGTTGAGTTTGAAGATGTAAGATTTCATCTTTTGAAGTTAAAAAATTATTTTCAATTTTTTTTTTGTATTCTTTTTTTTTTTTTTTCATTTGCATTCACTCCCAACAAGGCTGCAAGCAACCACTATTAAGTTGGAAGTTACTAGGAAAAAAAAGAACAGAGTTATAAAGCAAGGAAACAGTTTTTTTTTTTTTTTTTTTATTTGCATTCACTCCCAACAAGGCTGCAAGCAACCACTATTAATTGGGAGTTACTAGGAAAAAAAAAAAGAACAGAGTTATAGAGCAAGGAAACGGTTGACAGAAGACTTGAAAAGTTGAAGGTTGTATGAGTCAGGAAAACATGAAGACGGAAGAGAGTTTCAAAGGATTGAATGCGGGGAAAAAAACTAGATGAATAAAAGTTTTTAGAGCATGCAGGGACAGATACAGTAAACGAGTGAGACTTAGCTGAATGACGAGTAAAACGAGAATGAATTTTAGTTGATGGAACTAGAGATGATAACTCCTTTGAGCAGTGACCATGATAGTATTTGTAGAAAAGAGAAAGAGATGCAACTTTGCGACGATGGGAAAGAGGCTCAAGCTTAGCAGTCCAGGTCCAACAACATTTACAATGCGTTTTTGGACCTTGTCAAGAAGAGAAAGTGAATCGTTAGAAGAACCAGCCCAAATATGACAACAGTATTCCATACAGGGACGAATATGAGATTTGTAGAGGTAGAGAATGGAATCAGAAGTAAGGAAATGGCGAGCACGATAAAGAGAAGCAACCTTAGCAGAAGCTAATTTAGCAATGGATTGTATATAAGGTTTCCATGAAAGGTCAGTAGTAAGCGATAATCCAAGAAGACGTAAAGAGGCGGACTCAGTAAGAGGATTGCCATTCATTAATATAGGAATGTTGACCATATTACGGTAGTTGTTTGCAGTAAGCAATTGGGTTTTTTTAGAGTTGAAATTCACAAGCCACTGTGAACCCCAATCTATTACTGAAGTGAGATCAGATTCAAGATTAGCTGCTTGTTCTAGGAGATCGAAAAGAGAAGACTTTTTGTCAAGACAGGAGTATAAAGTTGAGTCATCAGCAAAAAGAGCTACTTTAGATGAAAGGTTGTCAGGAAGATCGTTTATGTAGATAAGAAACAAAACAGGGCCCAGGATGGAACCTTGGGGAACCCCAGAAGTTACTGGAAATAAAGAAGAGTGTTGGCCTTCAAGGATGACTTTAATAAACCGGTTAGAAAGAAATGATTTGATAATCTCAAAAACTTTCCCAGAAACACCATATGAAGCAAGCTTATGGAGAAGACCAGCATGCCGAACTTTGTCGAAAGCTTTAGATATGTCGAGAGCAACAGCCCTAGCCTCACCGCCTCCATCTAATGCACGATAAAATCTTTCAGTTACAGCAGTTAGCAAATCGGCCGTAGAGCGAGAGGATCGAAAACCGTATTGATTGTCTGACAGCAGTTTATTTAACTCAAGATGAGATGTGAGGAATTTGTTGATCAAAGACTCAAAGACCTTGCTAATAACAGAAAGAAGACTGATCGGACGATAATTGGAGGGGTCAGAATTTTCTCCAGAGTTTTTGAATATTGGAACCACAGATGCCATTTTCCAACAAGCAGGAAAACAAGACTCAGTCAAACACTTGTTAAATAGTTTAGAGAGAATCGAAGAAAGTTCTGGAGAACAATTCTGCAAGACTGTGACAGGATTGTTGTCTGGACCACAAGCTGTAAACGAGTTTAATTGAGATATGACTTTAGCAACAGAAGCCGGAATGATTTGAATGTCTAACAATGGGTCAACCTGTTTGACTGGAATGGAAGGAAGAGAATATCCATAAGATTCAAGAGTGGAATTAGAAGAAAAGTTCTTTGCAAATAGTTCTGCCTTATCCTTGGGAGAGGTAATAAGATCAATCCCATGAATGAGAGATGGAATGTTAGACCTACCCTTGTTAACAATGCTGTTGAAGATTTTCCAAAAGTCTTTAGAGCCTAACTTCTGCGATAAGATGCGAGATTTAGTGAACTGAGAATAATGGAGTTTAGCATCAGAAAGCACCTTTTTACATCGATTTCTTGCAATAAAAAATAGCCGTTTGTTCTCAAGAGAGTTGCTCTTTTGAAAAAGATGAAAAAAATGATTACGATTGGATATAGCAGCTGCACAATAAGGAGAAAACCATGGAGTAGAATGAGGCTTGACTTGAAACTGACGAGAAGGAATAAAAGCTTCCATTCCAGCCTGAATCCAGGAGGTTACGTAGGAGGTGCATTTATCAGCTGAGAAAGAAAAAACATCAGCCCAAGGACCATCACAAAAAAAATCACGAAAAGAATCCCAGTCAGCTTTAGGGTAGTAGTAGGTGGTGCGATAATAAGGTGAGCCCAAAAAAGAAGTACGAGAAGAAAGATTTATAGAGATCATTGCATGGTCAGAACCACCTAAGGGAGAAAAGGGAGAAACTGAACATAAGCTAGGGTCAGAGACAAGACATAAGTCAACGAGTGAAGGTAAATGATTAGGGTTGTCAGGAAAACAAGTCACAAAGTTTACTATCTGAGTAAGAGATTGAGAAACGCATAAGTTAAAGGCTTTAGTGCCAGCAGGATCAGTGGTGTTAGAGCCAAGCCATTCAGTGTGATGGGCATTAAAATCACCAACAACAACAATATTGGCAGAGGAGTAAAGAGAGAGGGCATGGTCAATTTGATCAGAAAGTGCAATCATGGGAAGAAGGAAAACGATAATGAACAAAGAGAAAGGTGATAGAGTGAAGAGGTGCAACATGGCACTGTTAATACTCTGATATTTTGCAGCTGTTGATGGAATCAGCCTCTCTGAGAGCTACCACAGAGTTTGGGAAACCTTACTACCAGCCGGCCTCAGAACCATTAAACTGAGTTTTAGAGCTGTACCCTCATATGGAGATAACAGGAAGAGTTGCATAGCCATTATTAAGGAGGCATAAGCAAAATTCTATGAGTAGAGTCAAGGAGATCCAGCATTCATCATCCTAGGCAGGAAACAATGTAACACAGGTTACATCTACGCCAGCCTAATAGATGAAGAAGGGGTTCGAGGCTGGTTAGCAGAATTTTTCTGCTTACCCCTAAAGTCTTTGCCTAGGAGGTCTTCTACAAGACAGTAGCTGGATGCAGTTAACATCTGCCCAAGATGAGTATTTTTATCGAGACACCATCTCTAGCCTTTACTCAACCAAGAGCCCCAAGGCAGGGGATGATTAGCTGGATGCAGTTAACATCTGCCCAAGATGAGTGTTTTTATCGAGACACCATCTCTAGCCTTTACTCAACCAAGAGCCCCAAGGCAGGGGAATTTTTCAGAGTTTATTTATCCTAGCCTTTGCCTAAGAAGAGCACACTCTGCAAGGCAGCAGGGCTTGTGGCAGGCGGTACTGGATTACGTGATTCCAGTAGCAAGATTGATCTTGATTATCCTGACCTGACCTGGAGTAGTTAAAAGGAGTTACTTCCCGCAACAGAACTTTGAAAAAACTAGGCATGTCATTTTCGAAGTGCATTAGAAAAAACACTGCATCTAACAAAATACAGGAGTCTCAGGTGAGTGTGTGTTTTGTAGTTGGAGTAAGTAGCTAGTTACTGAGCTCACGCTGCATCATAGAGTAAACAGAACACAAGCAAACGTAAAGTAACTTATGGGTGAGCAAACACCGCGCTAGAGGTTCAGGCAGAACACAGACATACATAAAAAACATAAAGTAACTTACAGGTGAGCGAACACCGCGCCAGAGGTTCAGACAGAACACAAACATACATTTAAAGTAGATTACAGGTGAGCTAAAACAGTAACTAAGGCACCACCAACTATATAAAAAAATATATATATATTGACTGGCATGACTGATATAAGATAGTACTGATGACAGGAAGCACACTTCTTCCAGCCTTTGCTTAGAAAGCAAATCCTGCAAGGCAGCAGAACATGGAACAGGTTGCACTGGGTTACATGTTACCAGTAGCAGAATGATCATGAAGACCATACTCCTGACCTGACAAAGTTTTTATATTTTTATTTTAAATTTATTACTTTAGTTTTTTATATAAACATTTGTTTTGTTGAAACAATTTTTTTTTAATTTTTTTTTTTCAGACTAAGAAGCCAACTTTTCATCTTAACACTCCAAACAGGCGATTTACATTTATTGAACCGAATGGAAATTACGGTATTTATATTTAGGTTTTATTTAAAAGAGATTTTAAATATATCTATAATATATTAAAAATAAATAAGTTTAAAAATAATCTTGCACCAAAGTTTATTTTTTTTAACTATTCCTTCAAGCTAATTTTACATTGTTTCAGTGAATAATATTTTTTTTTGATTATGAAACATCTTTAGTTTTAACCCCATTTCTTGGGTAACTTCACATTTTGGATTAACAAAAAACAGCATTATTTTTTTTTTCTCATTCTTCCCCCAATTGGCGTTCATATTACAATTAACATTCATCCCACAAGTACCCCATCCTGAAGTATTTTTTTTGACTGTCTCTAGAAAGAGGAGCGCACTCTTGTCAAACCCCTATTCCGACGTTGAGCCTCCTTTGCGTCCATGAACTCGTATTTCTAGGAAATAGGGAAAATGGGGTATATAGGGATTTGCACAGCGGTGCGCACATACACCAACCGATTTTTAGAGAGAACATGCAGCGGAGTGTGTAAACAACGACTGAGGGTTTGGGGTAGGCAGATTCTTTTTTAAATAAAGAAGTCGTTTTTTTTTACATTTTCGGACCTTAAGGACAGCGTCAGAATAAGGGTTTGACAAGAGAGCCTACCCTAGAAAGATTTATACCCAGGGCTCATAAAATCGTTTTTTTTATATTGATGATAATTAGTATTGTTTATATTGATGATAATTAGTAATTAACCAGTGCTTGATTTGTGACTTGTTTTATCAAGACCAACCAAAGTCATTTACTAGTCTTTTTTAAACATTATAAGGTTTCTTAAAAATTGAAAGCCTTAAATTTATTTTTTTTCTTAGATGAACTTTGCTTATGGATGAGTGTTTTAAAAGAAGCCATACAAAACAAAGTATCAGTAAGTGGTTTGAAAAAATTTAGAAAATGTATATAAGTTCATTGTTTAATTTTATATACACATTTTTGCTATTTTTTATTCGATGGAAGTTGGTTCGTAGGTAGATAGCTTAAAGGCGAGTTAAGCAGGTTAACAGATGAGCGTGATAACTAATTTTTTTTTGTTTTCCTCACTTTGATTTTCAACATTTTGTATGGATGGTAAAAAAAAATCAAAGCAAGATTTAAATCGAAAGTTGCCAAGTGATTAAACGCAAACCACAAATTTATGCTTTTTAAAAAATAATTGTGAATGACCACAAATGTTTTAAAAACACCTTGAGTTTTTGAACATGTTTTAAAAACTTGCTGAATGATGCGAAGATAATAAAATAATGCAAAGAAATAAAAAATGCTTGGAGCATAAAATTATTAAATTTACATGTAGCTCTTCCTGATCACTTATAAATCTAAAAATTTTTTTGTAGACTCACTGAGTTTGGTAGAACCGGAAAATGTACTGCAGCTTTTTTTTTCTTTTTTTTCAAATTTTGTGTCACCCTAATAGCTATAGAGCAACAACAAAAAAAGAAGAGTGAAAAAATATAATTGATTTCAGAGTTGCAAAATCAAGTAAAACAACTATGATTGGCAAAGCTAATAATGATATTCAGCAAATTGCAGAAATTCTTCATATTATAAAGAAATGAAAAATCAAACCTATTCACATTAAAACGTTGAAATCTCGACCAGGTCCAATTGTCATAGAACTACTAATAAGATTGATTTAATGATTGATTGAATAATTTTGCTGCAGCAAAAAATTTAAAAGAAAAATTTATGACCATATAACAGCATTGAGGAAAAAAGCAAGCAATAAGGCTTGCTCGGAACAATTTTTGGCAAAGTTATTCACTACAAGTAAATTATCAATAAAATTTTTTTTTTTCAACATCACTTTTATCAAGGCTGCAAGCAACCACTATTAGAGTTGGAAGTTACTGGAAGAGAAAAGATGAAGTTTATAGAGCAAGATAATGATTGACAGATGACTTAAAAGATTGCAAATTCTATAAGTCAGGAAAACAAGATAAAGGAGGCGAATTCTAAAGAACTGATGTTAGAAGAAAAAACAAGACAAATAAAAATTTTTGTAGCACTAACGAACAGTCACAGTAAAAAGATGAGACTTAATTAAATGACGAGTACACAAGAATGAATTGTAGTAGATGGCACAAGAGATGCAAGCTCCTTAAAGCAGTGTCCATTATAGTATTTATAGAAAAGAGAGAAAAGCAACATTACGATGATGTGATAATGGTTGGAGATTGGCTGTAAGAGCAGGTCCAACTATGTTTACAATGCATTTTTTCACCTTGTCTAAAAGAGAAAGGAAGATACAGTATTCCAGTATTCCATACAAGGACGGATTTTATAGAGATAAAGAATAGAATCTACAGTAAGAAAGTGGCAAGCACAATAAAGAGATCTAATCTTAGCAGATGCTAATTTTGCAATCAATTTGATGTATGGTTTCCAAGAAAGATCAAAGGTAAGTGTTAATCATAGAAGATGAAGGGTAGATGACTCATCAAGTACATTACCATTTATAAAAATAGGAAGATCTATATTATTGCCATAACGATTAGCTGAAAAAGATTGAGTTTTATCTGAATTAAAATTCACCAGCCTCTGTGAGCCCCATGCTGTTGCAGAAGTGAGATCCTTTTTAAGCTCAAATGCCCCCTCTAAGCAATCAGAGAGTATTGGATTCTTAGCAAGATATGAATAAATGGTATCATCAGTGATTAATGCTACCTTAGACGTAAGAATATCTGCAAGATCATTAATGTTAAGTGTTTAATAATTAAAGATTCAAAAATCTGGATTATAATAGAAAAAAGACTAATGGGATGGTAGTTAGACAAGTCAGATTGCTTTCCAGAGTTTTTAAAATTGGGGTAACAGATGCCACTTTCCAACAAGCCAGAAAACAAGACCCTGATAAGCATTTGTTAAACTGTTTTGAAGGTATAGAGGACAGCTCCGGAGAACACTTCTGCAAGATTATAACAGGTATGTTCTCTGGACCACAAGTTTTAGAAGAGTTTAAGCAGGAAATACAGAAGCTGGAGTGATGTGGATGTCAAGCAATGGATCAACCTATTTGTCAGCAATATCAGGTAGAACTAGTGAAATCAAGAGATGATATGATGAAAAGTTCTTAGCAAACAACTCAGCTTTAATTCTTTAGGTGAGGTGACAAAATCTGAACCATACAAGAGAGGTGTAACAACAGATTTGCTCTTATCATAGATACTGTTAAAGATTCTCCAGAAGTCATGAGAGCCTAATTTTTGAGATAAGAGTTTTCGTGACCTGAGAGTAGCGGGCTTTGGCGTTAAACAAAACCTTTTTACAATGGTTTCTAGGATTTGTAAACAGACATCGGTTTTCTGGAGAATTGTTTTGCTGATAGATAAGGAGGCTTGACTCGGAATCATCGAGAGGGAATAAAAGATTCCATTCGAACCTGAATCCAAGAAGTTAAGTAAAAAGGACATTTGTCAGCAGAATGACAAAAGATTTCTACTAAAGCCTATCACGAAGAAAATCTCAGAAAGAGTCCCAGCCAGCTTTAAGGTAGTTGTAAGACTCTGATGATGAAGAAGAATGAGATAATAGTTTTAGGGAGGTCAAACCGTGATCAGAAGCACCTGGTTAAAGGATAAAGAGGCTTAGTTGAAGGATAAAGAGCCTTGGTTGTTTTAATCAGAAATAACATTGAAAAGAGTGCAGCCTTGAGATGAAGGAGAGCATTATAGAATAAAGAGCAAGATGACAGAGTGAAGTGGTGCTAAATGAAAGCACATAAAAGAACAGTCTGTGGTTTCAAACCTAGTTTCCTGACATATGGGTGAGTTCTTATGAATGTAAATGCTCAGGCCATGCATGTGACTATTGGAGTTTTTATGAATTAAGGGAAATAACCATCAATATTAAGATCACAAGATGAGACAGCTGAACTCAAGATAGTCTCACAAGATTGCTTTTTGAGCAATAAATTGTTCATTGGGTAATCTAATGTTCATAGGACAAAAGATCACCCTATGAAAATAAAATGATAGTTTAAAATTATTAATCCCTTTGTTCCAAAATACTGTTCCAATTTCATTTTAATTTCAATTTCATAAAGAATTATTGAAAATAAAATATGCTGTTAATTTTTTGTATAATAAAATATTTGTGAAATAAATTATTAAAATAAATATAAAATATATTTTATAGTAAAAAATAACGATATATTTTAATTTTCAACAATTCTTAAGTTGAATGCAAATAGGAACAGTGTTTTAGAACAGAGGGAATACTTTGTATTATCACATTTTTTTTGACATAGAAATATTAGTAAATTATAATAATATTGAATAATGTATATATAGTCTTCTTCCTTTAGGCAGCGCTTTCGCGCGGCCCACACAACCACAAAAACTTTGGCAAGCGCATGAAAAAGCACTTGCCAAAAAAAAAAAAACGTTTTGTTTAAAATTGCAACAAAACTTTTTTGTTCATTTGTTTAACTTTTATGAAGTGTGGCTTTTTTTTACTAGTTTTTTTTTTAATTATTTTATCTAGTATTTGTTTAAAGCATTCTCTTTGCTATACTTGTTTATTATCTAGTATTTATTCAAAACATTTTCTTTGCTTGTTTTAATTTAATTAGCAGGAAGAATAAAAAAAATTTAAATCGCGCAGGCTAATTTAAAAATGAACATCCTGTCAGCGTTTTTTCGTGCGCTGGTATTAAATTTCAAATAGAGAAGAGTGTATATATAATATATGCATAAATAATAGAAATAAGAAATCATAAAAATAGTATTATTACTACAAACATAAATAATCAAAGATAGTTGTTTTGTAAAATCTGCTTAATAAAAAGTATACATTTGGAGGTTAAAAGAGTCTTGAAATATATGATATCCATAAGTTTTTTGTGTTGAAATAAGTTTAGCAAAGTAATAAAAATAAGTTCATCCAACGAATATAATGGTTAGAACTTTGTTAAATGTTGATTAGAACTTAATAATAATAGAAGTAATAATAATAGAATTAATGTTGATTAAATACGGTAGTGATGTAGTGGTGGAGTGCTCGCCTCATAAGCAAGAAGTTCCAAGTTCTATCCCTTCCATGTTCCTGGTAGTACCATGCTTAACTTGTTTCTTTGCTCAGCGGTCTTGTTTGTCAAGATTTGTGTTTTGAGGTTATAGAGTAATTAAATTTAATTATAACCACAATTAAAATAGCCTCCTTGACTGTAGTGGCCTTCTCACCTTTAGGGAGGTGAGTTAACATTAAAAAAAAATTATATTATTAGTTATTCCATTCTTTATAAGTTCTTAATTCAAATATTATTCTTAACGCTATTTATACATATTATTTTAATTTAGTATCCCAATTTGATAGATGTTTTTTAGTAATTTAACAAATTTTTTTCAAATAAAATAAATTTCAAAAAATTCAGTTATTTCAATTATTTTCAATTTTTGGTTATAATTAAATGAATCAATAATTTTGTATAGACTGATTCATCAGTTGTGGAAATTGCAAATCCTGATAAAGAGGTACTCAGCTTTGTTTTTTTGTTTTTTAAATCAAAAGTGAAAAAGAAAGAAACAGAAATTTAGTTAATTAGTTTTCAAAATTTGAAATTCAAAACTATGATAACTATGTTTCTCGGATTATTTGTTAAGTAAGTTTGTTACTTACAAAATGATTTTTTTCATTTGTATTTTATCTTTTTAGGGTTGGTTGTTAAAACAAGGTCATGATATGATTAAAGATTTTAAAAAAAGGTAAAACATTTTTTGGTATTTCTTCAATTTGTGATGGTATTTTGATTTTATAAATCACCAGGCCTTGTTAAGAAGAATTACGTCATATACATTAAGCCATTAACATTGTGTTAAGAAGAATTATGCCATATACATTAAGCCATTAACGTTATGCAGAAACTTTTTTCAATTTAAATAGATTTCAAATGAATTTAAATTCAAATTCATTTGAGTTTTAAATTCATCATTTTCAATGCATTTGAAATAGTTTATGCAAAAAACATTTTAAAAAAGCATAAAAAAAGTAGTAAAATAAATTTTTTTCTACTTATTATTTTTAAAAATGTTTAATTTAAATTTTTTTTTTTTTTGATTTTTTAAAAATTTAAAATGCTCTGTTATAAAATTTTTTAACTGTTTAAACTATGTTAAAGAAAATTCTTTTTAATAAATTTAATTCACAATACTTTTTTTATGTTCGTTTTACATTAAACTGTTTTGTTTATTTATAGTTGCAAATCAATAATTTTTTTTTTATGTCATTATGAAAGTGATAATATACAAAAGAGCTTAATCCACTTTTAACTGTATATAAATGCATTGCTGGATAAACCCTAATCAAGCCTGTAGGAAAAATATTTTAGAGAATTTTTTTGTTAAACTTTATGTAACAAATTTATGAAAAGATGATTTTATTTAGTTTTGAAATTGTTTTTTAGCAAAAGTTTTGTCATTATCATTAATTTTCAGATAAACCATAGAATGGACGTTGATTAGAAATGATTAACACTAGTTTATGATAAGTTATCAAAGATTTTGTTAAAGCTAAAATGTTTAAAAAAATTGTTAAAATTTTTTATTTTTTTTGTTTTTAAATTACTAAAAAAACTGTAAAATAGTATGACATTAAAAATTAAAGTTAAAGGGGCGAATTAAACATTTGCAAATTGAAAGCGTGCATATATATATATATATATATATATATATATATATATATATATATATATATATATATATATATATATATATATATATATATATATATATATATATATATATATATATATATATATATATATATATATATAAATATGTGTGTGTGTGTGTATGTGTGTGTGTGTGTGTGTATTAGAGCGGATGTAGCTCAGTGGTCAAAATGCTTACTTTTGAAACAAATAAACAGGGTTTGCAGCAAGGTCTGGACCTTGCGCCATCAGTAAGGAAGATTGGTAAGGAAGGAGGCATAAACTTCCTAGTTAAATGCTCTTCCGCGTTAGTCTGTGACAAGACCGTTAGGTCTTCTTCGGGCACCTAAAACAAATAAAAACCCAAACCATATTATTTGAAGCAATTGAGATCACTAATTTTTATATTTCTGGGGAAAAGTTTTATTGAAAAAATATTTAGTCATGTTTTAAAACAATGTTGTTACAAAGTAACTTAGTCAAATGAATATCTTACCGATAACTGATTAAAAAGTAGATAAAGGAAAACAAATTCCAGATTTTTTCCAGATATTTTATCCAATCAATTTTCGGGATTTTTAAAATGTGACTAAGATGATGTTTAGTTCATATTTGATAAAAAATTAAGCAATTACCATTAAGAGTTTCACCTATAAACAATTCTCTATTCATTAAAAAAACAAACAACTAAATTGCGAGAAAGCAAACATAAAACAATAATGTTGTGTTAATGTTTTAAGAAATAAATAGTATAAGTTTTTAAAATAAGGAAATATATATTTTTTTTCAAAAAATATTTAAATTTTGTTGATAATAATTTTAATGACAATATTGTTTAATTTAAAGATATTAAAACTTTAAGTGATTTTTAATGTGGTTTCAAATTAAATTTAATTAAAACACTTTAAAATACGCAACTGATGTAATTTAACTTTTAACAAATGTAAATATGAATTTTGAGTAAAAGTACATTAACTTACATTACACTTTTCCATTATGCAACAAAATCTTAATACAAGGCCTGAGTCACATATGTATAAAACAATGTAAATATTATTGAGTGTGCATAAAACACACATAATAACATTTGTACATAGAACACATATTTGTGTTCTATGCATAGCACCCTTTGCTTTGCAATGCACACTATGCAGAGCAACAATACAAGTATCATTGTGGGTGCATATGACACATATTAAGGGTAATTCTATGTCAATTGACCCAGGCTATGTCACCATACATCTCAGGTTTTGCTGATTTTTATGCAGTTGAGAGTACATAGTACAATTAGAATTAATTGAAAATTTTAGCATTTATCTCCAAGAAGATTCTGAAATATGACCATTTTACTTCTAGCAGATATCTGCCAGGCCGACTTCTACCTTCAGAAACGCAACATTTATTTAGTGATTCCAAGTAACATAACTTAAAAATATTTGATCTTTTTACTTAAAACTTTGTTGCTGGCTATTTTCAGGAGTGTTAAATCCAATAAAATGATTAAAAATGTAAAAAATTATTATTAAATACCTGTAATTATCAATTAAAATAAACTTAAGCAATTGTTTACCAGTTTTTAATGCTCATGAAACCTATGTGGCCTTGACGATATCAAAAAAAAAAAATAATAATAACACATCATTCTATATTCATTGATCTTTCAGAAAATATAAGGATTTTGATCTGCAAGATTATGGATTCACATATATGCATAATAATGCATGATCCCCACTTTTTTGTAGCGGACTATTGCAGTTGATTTTTCATTAGCTTTCAGACAAGCTGGAGCTCTGAAACTTTTGGCATTTTTGCAGTGCAAATAACAGAATATGTATGCTAAAATCTCCAAAACAAGAAGTCTTCTTGGAGCTAGAGGCTAAAATTTTCAATTAATTTTTATTTTACTAAGTACTCTTAACCGTATAAAGTCAGCAAAATCTGAGAAGTGTGGTGACATTTTTAAAAATTTCTGGTTCAATTGACATGGAATTACCCTAACCTTCATACATAAAACACATTTTTGTGTTTTGTGCAGGCTAGCTTTAACTTTTTTCTAAATTTCTATATCTATCTATTGACAATAATGAGTTTTTTTTGTATTTTCAGATATGTGGCAATAAAAGAAGATCTTTTATATTACTACAATAATTTTGAGGTATTTTTATTGAAATTCTAATAATATGTAAATACCATTTATATAGTTATTGATATTTGTGCTTTATAAACAGTATTTGTGCTTTTTGCACCTGTTTGTGTTCTATATTATATGGCTTATTAAAAATATTTGAAAAATTATTTTCTACTAGTTTATTATTGCTCTGTTCTTTTAAGAACATTATGTACTTTATTTTGTAGAATAAATTTAAATATATATATATATATATATATATATATATATATATATATATATATATATATATATATATATATATATATATATATATATATGTATATGTATATATTTGTGTAAGGATTTCTGTGATGGACTTCCTATAAACATTTTGGAAATGAAGTTAATTTCATTGAAAGATGAGCCTTTGAAGTTTCGACTCCACCTGCAATCACATACACAAAAAGTTTATACGTAAGAGCATTTGTAACATTAATTTTGAAAGTTTTTAGCAAGTTATTTAAAATCAGTTTATGGGGTGCTAAGGAAACCTACTGCACTTAAGGATCTAGGTGCTTATAAACAAAGGTTTCAACTAATGGTGCAGTGTTCAACGAAATAGATACTGATCAAATGTCCATTCAAATATAACTCAAATTGCTGTAAAAACTGAACCACTTAAGATGGAAATTCTTTTACACCTATCTTATTCTCTTGTTGTGAATCGGTATATTTTTAATTATTACAAAAAAAATTTAACAAAAAAACCTAGGTGTTTTAATGTATGCCTTGAAGTCTTATAAAGTGTGCATGTAATTTTTTTAAAAATATAGTTGTAAAAATTTAGGACAGCGCTCAAATTAGCCCAGTTATGCTTTTTGCATTTTTTGCTTTCTGCAGTTTGGCTGATTTCTCTACTTATATAAATTCAAAGTTTTTTTAGCGTAGTGGCATAAAACATAGGCTAAAGCAACCAAATGTTCAATATAATTGAAATAAAAAATTGCTTTTGAAGACACTCTTGAAGATAAATTTCTGATGTCAAAGTTGATGACGTCACAAAAGCTTGCCACAAGAGCAATTTTTTGCCATATTTGTTCACAAGTTCATATTTATACTTGTTGCTTACGTCGTCATGAAATATGACTAAAGTCACATTTTATATAAGTCTTGTTGTCCTTCAAAATGCCATCAAATTGTCCATCATTTAATTTTGTCAAAGTTTTCATGTTAAGTTTCTGTGCTTGTGTTTTAGCAGTGGAAGTTTGTCAGAGCAATTTAGGCATTTAATTGCTCAGGAAGACTTGCAATTGTTTTATTTCTTCATTTTCCTTTCCAGAAAATCAGAAACTTTGTACTTTTTAGTTCTTTCTCTATTAGACAAGCCTGAATTTTTTTCAAAAGAACAACAAATCTTAGTTACCACTAATTTATTGTTAAAAACTTTTTTCTTTCCTATTTTTTAGCTCGTTTAATGGATAAATTGTTCTTATATTTTTTTATAACCCTTCCAGCAGTAAATATTCTAGTAACTTTTGAGACTTATTTTTAGTTGAATGATGGATATTTTTTTTGAGTTTTTTTTACTAATTTTTTTAATATAATTAATTACTGCCAATCAATAAAGTACTATTGATTTCGGCTTACTGATTTTTACAATACTTTCAAGTCTGATACTTCATTACGTTTATCTAATTAAACTTTTTTGATAAAACTAATTTAAAAGACTTTATATTTTGGTTTTATCATATTTAGTGAAATTTTTATCATAATTAATAAAGGGTTTTTATCGCTTTTTTAAATATTATTTATAGTCACTGATCTTCATGAGTTTTAATTTAAAAACTTAATTTTAAGGTTTGAGGCTAGCGATGAAGCATCATTTTTAAGTTGGAAATATGCAATTGAAAGCTCTATCCAAATTGGACTTGGTGATCGTGAAGTAAGTTTCTTTACTTTTTTTTTTAATATTACAGTTATTATTTTTTTTTACTACTACTAAAACAGGTGCATTGTAAGAAAAAAGACAAACTTTTTATTAAATAGTGTAAATAGTGAATAGTAAATAGTGAACTATAAATCTATTAAATCTTAAAATTCTACTTTTAGATATATATAATATTGCTTTATAAAGCAATTATAACTGCATAGTGCTTTATAAAGCAGTTATAACTGCATAGCTCATTGATTAGGAGGCTGTGCTCTATCTATGAATGAGTCAAGTTCTTATTAAACCCAAATCATGACCAAAGATTTTAAACCTAAAAAACAATCCCCACCACCTAAATGTTTTAATATATCTTTTACAAATATTCGCGGTCTACGAAGCAACTTTCCATCAGTTGAGTCTTACCTCCTGCAAAATTCACCAGACTTGCTTGCACTCAGTGAAATAAAGTTAAATTCTGCAATTCCTTCTTCAGATGTTAGTGTTGATGGGTACTATCCTTTAATTTGTAAAGACTCCAATAGTCACATGCTAGGTTTAGGGGTATACATACGCATTAATTCCCCTAATTGTTGTGAAATCAGGTTCGAATCCTTTGACCATTCTTTTATGTGCTTTCGCCTAGCACCTCTTCACTCTATCACCTTTCTCTTTGTTCTTTACCGTTCTCCTTCTTCCCATGATTGCACTTTTTTAGATGTTATCTCTAATCAAATTGACCATGCCCTCTCTCTTTACCCCTCTGCAAATATTGTTGTTGTTGGTGATTTTAATGCCCATTACACTGAATGGCTTGGCTCTAACACCACTGATCCTGCTGGCACTAAAGCCTTTAACTTTTTGACTCGTTTTCCTGACAACCCTAATCATTTACCTTCACTCGTTGACTTATGTCTTGTCTCTGACCCTAGCTTATGTTCAGTTTCTCCCTTTTCTCCCTTAGGTGGTTCTGACGGTGCAATGATTTCTATAAATCTTTCTTCTCGTACTTCTTTTTTGGGCTCACCTTATTATCGCACCACCTACTACTACCCTAAAGCTGATTGGGATTCTTTTCGTGATTTTTTTTGTGATGGTCCTTGGGCTGATGTTTTTTCTTTCTCAGCTGATAAATGCACCTCCTACGTAACCTCCTGGATTCAGGCTGGAATGGACTGAATCCAGGAGGTTACGTAGGAGGCGCATTTAAAAAGACTGAGTCTTGTTTTCCTGCTTGTTGGAAAATGGCATCTGTGGTTCCAATATTCAAAAACTCTGGAGAAAATTCTGACCCCTCTAATTATTGTCCGATCAGTCTTCTTTCTGTTATTAGCAAGGTCTTTGAGTCTTTGATCAACAAATTCCTCGCATCTCATCTTGAGTCAAATAAACTACTGTCAGACAATCAATACGGTTTTCAATCCTCTCGCTCTACAGCCGACTTGCTAACTGCTGTAACTGAAAGATTTTATTGTGCATTAGACGGAGGCGGTGAGGCTAGAGCTATTGCTCTCGACATATATAAAGCTTTCGACAAAGTTTGGCATGCTGGTCTTCTCCATAAGCTTGCTTCATATGGTGTTTCTGGGAAAGTTTTTGAGATTATCAAATCATTTCTTTCTAACCAGTTTATTAAAGTCATCCTTGAAGGCCAACACTCTTCTTTATTTCCAGTAACTTCTGGGGTTCCCCAAGGTTCCATCCTGGGCCCTGTTTTGTTTCTTATCTACATAAACAATCTTCCTGACAATCTTTCATCTAAAGTAGCTCTTTTTGCTGATGACTCAACTTTATACTCCTGTCTTGACAAAAAGTCTTCTCTTTTCGATCGCCTAGAACAAGCAGCTGATCTTGAATCTGATCTCACTTCAGTAATAGATTGGGGTTCACAGTGGCTTGTGAATTTCAACTCTAAAAAAACCCAGTTGCTTACTGCAAACAACTACCGTAGTATGGTCAACATTCCTATATTAATGAAAGGCAATCCTTTTACTGAGTTCTCCTCTTTACGTCTTCTTGGATTATCGCTTACTACTGACCTTTCATGGAAACCATATATACAATCTATTGCTAAATTAGCTTCTGCTAAGGTTGCTTCTCTTTATCGTGCACGCCATTTCCTTACTTCTGATTCCATTCTCTACCTCTACAAATCTCTTATTCGTCCCTGTATGAAATACTGTTGTCATATTTGGGCTGGTTCTTCTAACGATTCACTTTCTCTTCTTGACAAGGTCCAAAATCGCATTGTAAATGTTGTTGGACCTGGACTGCTAAGCTTGAGCCTCTTTCCCATCGTCGCAAAGTTGCATCTCTTTCTCTTTTCTACAAATACTATCATGGTCACTGCTCAAAGGAGTTATCATCTCTAGTTCCATCAACTAAAATTCATTCTCGTTTTACTTTTCATTCAGTTAAGTCTCATTTGTTTTCTGTATCTGTCCCTGCATGCTCTAAAAACTTTTATTCATCTAGTTTTTTTCCCCGCACTTCAATCCTTTGAAACTCTCTTCCATCTTCATGTTTTCCTGACTCATACAACCTTCAACTTTTCAAGTCTTCTGTCAACTGTTTCCTTGCTCTATAACTCTGTTCTTTTTTTTCCTAGTAACTCGCAACTTAATAGTGGTTGTTTGCAGCCTTGTTGGGAGTGAATGCAAATAAAAATAAAAATAAAAAAATTAGATTTAGTAAATGGAACTTTATAAATCCAGTAAATGGTGTCTTTTTAAAGCAACATTATTTAAAAACTAGATAAGTTTCTTAAACTAAATATGTTAACAACTTTTTCAGGCTTAAAATATTTAAATTTATTTTTATTTCCCAGTTTTCTAACTTGAATGAGATTTAATTAAAAAAAGAATTAAGAAACACGTAACTGGTGAATATTTTAGTTATATATGAATCCAATGAGTTATGTAATGTATTTCTACAGCAGTGTTCAAAAAGTTGTTTCTATACTTTTTTTTTTCTTTTTTACTTTTTCTTTACTGATTTTTTTTCCCTTTTTTTTAATACTGTTTCTGTGTTTATTTGTATAACTATTATAATTAATAAGTAACAGATCGCTTATTAAAATTAGTTCTTTAATAAAAAAATTTTTAATTACTAATCAAGTATTAAAAAATTTTAAGAGACATAAAACTGTTGGCAACATATAGAGTCCATGGCTCTTTCATTGAAAAAGGCATTGAATCTATTGACTCAAGAAGTTTCTGATTTGGTAATAGTTTAAGATTTACACTGCTAGTTTATGAAAGCAAATAAATGTAATGAAACTTTTCCAAGAAATATTTAATGAAAAGCAAAAAGGTGTTTTCAAGTGGCATTCCTATTTTATAATGGTAAATGATAAGAGATAAAAGAATAGAGAGAAAAAAAAAAAAAAAATTAAAAATACAATATAGTTAAAAAACATTTTCTAAAAACTTACATAAATATAGTATAAATATATGTAGTACCACATCAGTAAAAAATTTTATTTAGATGACATAACATAACACAATATAAGTTAACATAAACAAAATAACACAATATAAGTTAACATAAACAACATAACACAATATAAGTTAACATAAACAACATAACACAATATAAGTTAACATAAACAGGAAAAAAAGATACTGACACCAGTTTTATAAATGAAAGAACTTATTGTTACGAACATTTGCAAGTATTTTTTTTCAATAATATATATTTTTTTCAGATTTTGCAATTGCTTCAACAAAATCCATCAAATAATTTGTGTGCTGACTGTGGAGAAAAAAGTATTCTCTTTCTTTTCTTTTTTCAGTTTTAAAATGCTAATTTATTCTTTTTGGGAAATTGAGAAATCTATCCTATAGATTGTATATAAAATTCTGAGGCAATTGAAAGTTTTTTAATATAAAAGTAAATTCCATTTTGAGTTTATTTGTTACATTTATAATGTTAAGTTATTAATTTTTATTTATATTGTTAACCAATATTTGCTGCTGAAGACTAAATATAAGAATAAAATACAGAACAGGGTGTCTGCTAGATCAGGGAAAACAGGAAAAAGTCAGGGTATTCAGATGTCTGCAAAAAAAATCAGGAAATAAATAGAGAAGTTGGGTAAAATTTAGGAAAGATCAAAAAATGACTCTTTATCAAACTTAAGTGAATTATGAAGGTTGTATTCATACAGGTATCAGGGCGCAACAAATTGACAAGCGTGCAAACAATTGTTACAAAAAAGACAGAAAAACGAATGTCACATTTCTTTACTTTTACTTATGCAAACGTTGGTGTTCGTCTGTGTTATGCAAAAGTTGGTGTTTGTCTAAAATTTTTAAAAAGAAACACATTTCTTTGGCAATTTTATTCAAAAAGTTATGCTATTAATGTTTTTTTATTTATTACAAAAGACACATATTTGTAATAAATAACAATTAGTTATTGAAATTTAAAACGAATTTTCATCGACTTGAAAAAAAATGGCGCTTTAATATGATTACTTTCTTTAATAGCATTACTTTTAAGTTAAATAACTAAATATGGGACTGAAAAAGTCATTATGTTTTAGAATGGTTTTTAATTGCGTTTTCAAAGGCAACTAAAATTTTACTTGAAATGAACACATTTGCAATTACTTTAAACAAAACCATGCTAAAACGTAGCTTTCTTTAAAAGTGTGCTTTTTTTTTAATTTTCTTATTATCCTTAACGTAAAGGAATGTTTGTTTGTATACTATAAACATTTTAAAAAGTTTTAAGATTTTTTAAGTTTTGCTGAAATATATATATTTTAATAAAATATATAGAACTATTATGTCTATAATAGTTTTCATTTTTTGTTGTGAGTTTAGCAACAACAATAAGATATTTTTATTATTAAATAATATCATATTATAATATATTAAGTATTTAATAATAACCTTATATAATAACTTATTTAATACTTAAGATTATATTAATAATTTTAAAGGTTTGAAAAAAGTAATGTTAAAACAACTTTTATTTTATATTTAGTTCTCTTTAATTTTAATTTTTTCAAGTTTATAAGTTTTTTTATAAATAAATAATTTCAACGCAATAAATTGAGAAAAATTTGCTATTTTGTATTAATGGGAAACAGTTTACAGTTATTTTATATCAGTTAAATTTAGTTAGTTTGTGCACATTTTGCAAATGCGTGGAAAATTGTTTCGAATTAATAAAAAATTAATCAAGTTCAATAAGCATCTTTGATTTATCTTAATATTAGATCTATAACTTAGATATATATATATATATATATATATATATATATATATATATATATATATATATATATATATATATATATATGTATATATATATATATATATATATATATATATATATATATATATATATATATATATATATATATATATATATATGTATATATATATATATATAACTTATTAACTAGAACAAAGGTTATTTGAAAATATAACTCCCTTATAATTTAATAAAAAATTATTTGAATAAAAAAAATTAAAAATTAAAAGAATTAGAAATAAAACTGGCTACAGAAATAGTGTCATACAGTTTTTACAGAAAAAAAAAATAATGAAAGAAATGATAACTACCAAACCCCAAACCCTCAGTAGCGGCACTCCTTTGCAGCAGCAGGCTATAAGATAGTTGGTATATGTACTGAAGCCCTCGGTATCAGGCTATTTCAGTATGACATCAAACTTGTTATTTAAACACAAATTTATAGTTATTATAATTTTTTTATTTTTGTTACTATTCATTAAACTCCTTTAGAACATTTTTCCTTTTTTCTATTTTTGACATTCATTCATATATTTTTGACATTATTCATCAAATTCATTTGTGGCGCTATTCCTTTTTTTTTTGTTTTCAACACTAAATTTCATTAAATTTATTTGCAACACTATTCCTTATTTTTTGTTTTCGACAATATTTATTAAACTCATTTGCAATATTCCTTTTTTTATTTTCGACACTATTGATTAAATTCAATTGTGACATTCCATATTCTGTTATTCGACAATCAAAAATGCGAAGTTTGCAACACTATTCCACCACACTTGACATATACCTCTTAAATTAGACGTTCGCCAATAAATAATGATACGAACGTCAACATTTACTTAATAAAAACTATTTGTTGCACCCTGGGTAATATAAAATTTTATTAGGTAGATAGTTTTCTGAAATTTTCTTGATACTTTAAATGTTTATTCTATTATTTTTTATAGTTTTTGCAATTGAAAAGCATTTTCCTAAAAGAATCTGTTTTTTCTGAAGTTGAGTCCGGGTAACTTTAAATCAAATAAGGAAAATTAGGTCAAGGATAAAAAGGGAAAATCAGGTTAAAAACCAGAAAATCTGACTCAAAATATTGGCAGACACCTTGCTTTAAAGTCAGCATAATATTTTCATATGAATGGATAATTATTCAAGATGTTTTAACTTATTTGTTAGGAATCTTTTTATTTAGATCCTATATGGGCATCTGTAAATTTACTAGTTGTTGTTTGCATTCAATGCATTGGTAAGACACGATTAGTTTTATATTTGATTTGTTTTACTCTTTTGGAGATACATGATAAGTATTACATAATGTAGTCTTCTTTGTTTGAAATTTAATGGCTGCGCACAAAAAAGTACTGATTGGATGGTCATTATTAGGTTGGCATGCTCAAATTTTAAAATTCATTTTTATTTTCTATTTAAATAAAAGAAAAACAGCAAAAATAATACCTTGGATAAATTCTAAACAAAATAATTAAAATAAAATGGCAAAGTGATCGTTTTGTTCAAATTCTAAACAAAAATATAAAAATAAAAATGACTAAAAATAATGTTTTATTTAAATTTTATACAAAGTAATTAATTGAAAAATTGAAAAATAAAGGTTTTATTTAAATTCTTAATAAAATGATAAAAATGTCAATTTGAATGTCTTGTTTAAACTCTGAATAAATTAAAATAAAAATGGTAAAGCAAACCTTTTATTTAAATTCTAAATAAATTAAAATGAAAATAGCAAAGCCAACATAAATTCTAAATAAAATAATTCATACTTTAAAGTTTTCATCAAAGTATTTGATGAATAAAAAAGATTTGTTGTAATTTTAAAAAGCACTTGTATTTTTTCGGCGATCCTTTTTCAAGATGTTGCAAAGTATTGTGGACTAGCGTGAAAAAGCTTGAGCGCAAACTAGCGCGACAAAGCTGGTGGCGATAGCCAAACAGAGAAGACTATTAATGGAACAGAGTATTTATCAGGATACACTTAAGAAAAATATTTTAAGAATTATAATCTAGATGGTGTGGTTTCTAATCAAAACACAAAAATAATTTGTAAGTTTTGGAGTAAAACAATGTTAAACAGGGCAAATTGTTTATAGTAGTTTCAGCTATTTTCAGAATATGTAAGTTCGTTTAGTTAAAATCAGTAAATAATTTTTATTTTAATATAAACAAATATATATGAATATATTTTGTTTTGCACTAGAAGTAATTTAAATAATTTCTTCAAGTTTTTTGTTTCTTTTTTTTGTTTTGTGTTAACTCCCAACTTAATGCTTACAGGTTGGTTACAACCTGGTTGTTTACAGCTTTGTTGTAGTGAATTTGGTTTTTTTTTAATATAAAAAAAAGAATTATTTTGGTTTAAATATTTACTTTTGATTAGCACTTGTACTATCAGTTTTTATTTTAATATATATTGATTTCCAACAAGACATAAGATGGAAAATAACAGAAATGATGAAGAAAAAACTATCAAGTAGTAATTTAACTGTAGAAGACTAACCAAAAACTATAAATTATAAAAATCAAACAAAATATGAACTTCTAGGAAAAAGGTTTGCTAAAAATGTTTATCTTACAAAGAGAGGCAACAAAGAGAGGTGTATGGCAAAAAGAGGAAACCTAAAAACAAGGAAAACAATTGTATAACAATCAGAAGCAACTTTAAAATAAAAAACATTTTTAAAAAAACTTTAGCAAATGCTAATTTTAATGAGGATTTATATTGATTTCTATAGAAGTTGTCAGGAAAATCATTAATGAAAATTAAAAAAAAAAAGAGATAAAGAAACATCTTGTGCCAAACATCATAGTTAATTTTAGATATAATAATTAGTTATTAATTAGTAATTAATTAATTGATATCTGCAAGTATTTGATACATGTTGTTTAGTTATAATTGTATGAGATAATTGAATTAATTAACATCAGGAAGCATCAAATAAAATGTATTATCCAATAATTAAAAGCAGTAATTGATTTAACATCAAGATTATTTAATAAATTCAGGTTGTCACCGAAGGTTAGGTGCACAAATTAGTAAAGCTCGTTCAGCTACAATGGACAAGAAAGTGTGGACAACATCTTTAATTAAGGTTGCTTTTTATTAAATAGTTTTATATATATATACACAAACACATATAATAAACTTTTGAATTATTTATCTACACCATTATTACACAGTAATGTTTACAACCCCACAGCACACACACATATATATACACACATATATATATATATATATATATATATATATATATATATATATATATATATATATATATATATATATATATATATATATATATATATATATATATATATATATATATATTCTTTATTGTAGCTCTTTCAAGTGATTGGCAACAAAAATGCTAATTCTCTGTGGGCTGGCAAACTTCCATTAGATGATCAGATACCTCAGAATGCATCGACGTAAGTATTAGTGTTAATATTATGTATAATAATTTATCTTTATTATAAATTTGTACATCATAATCATATTTACCACCACTTGTATAATATATATACAAGTATAAATTCTTGTATAATAAACCTTTTTATAATAAACTATTTTGAAAAATGTGTTTGATAACAATTTTTGTTTTAGCGAAACTCGTTTTGCTTTTGTTAAAGAAAAATACCAGGATAAAAGATATTTTTCCTGGTCAGAAATGTATGGACAACCAGATGAGCTAGGAATGGTACAACGTCTTTAAAATATTTGATTATATATATACATACATACATACTTACATACTTACATACATACATACATACATACATACATACATACATACATACATACATACATACTTACATACATACATACATACATACATACATGCATATATACATACATACATATGTACGTATGTATGTATGGAAGAACTAATATCGCCTTACTGAACCGCGCACTACTTTACGCGACTCCTTATCGGCTCTTTTTTTTTTATTGGCTTATTCAAGTGGTTCGATAATTTTTTTTAACTTATTTTGCATTATTATCGTTTCTGTATCCTCACAGTAGTCCGAATTTTATTGAGCCGATGAGTTGGTGTTTGTATTTTTTACACTTACACATAGTTTTCGTAAAATCCATCGTTATTGAACCCTTTAAGGAATAGTAAGATCTATATGTTAATAATGCTTTTACACATGATATATTTAGTTTTAGTGATAAAAACCTTAAATTATAAATAAATATAACAACTTTATTGACTTACATAACTTACTCTTTTCCTACCGGTAATTTTTCGCTCTTCTTAAACTCTATTTTGTTTATTTTTAAATGCGCTAACAATTTATTATTAGTTAATATTAAAAGTGGCAAACATCAGTTTTCCAAAATCTAAAGGCTTAAATCAGATTGAAAAAGAAAAAAATGAGTTTATTGTAGAGCTACCTCTAAACATATCTGAAGAAGTGTTTATTGATGAAGGTTCATTTGCTAAAGTTTATAAATTTTCTCATAAAAAGGTTGTAAACTTTATAAATATCAATTCCCTAAATAAAAAATGTATTATATGTCAAATCGATTCAAAAATGCTTGATCATCCAAATATTGTTGCGTATATTGGTTTTAGATTTAGACCTACAGTAATTTCTTTTGACTGCTGTTGTGTTCTAGTAGAAAATACCATATGCCATTTATTGCCAGAGTTATTAAATTTGTTCAACGAAGAAATTTATTTTAGTTGCATGGAGCGTTTGGATTACGGTTTACAAGCAGCTATTGGATTAAAACATTTGCACGAATTAAACATTATGCATCACGATTTTAAGCCTGCAAATGTTTTAGTTCAGGGCACTTTAAGTAATATAGTGATTAAACTTTCTGATTTTTGTGACCTTGCTATAATGAAGGAAACAATGGCAACAAAGACTAAGGTAAAAGCTGAAATTTTTGGGTTAACTATCTTTCTCCTGAAATTTGCAATCGAACTGTTAATATTGTCAATAAAGAGTCATATGTTTATGCCATACCATTTTCTTTTTTTGAAATTATGTCAGAATTAGACTCACCGTGGCAAAATCACTTTTCTATTTATAAAGATACTTTTTTAACTCAAGCTCTTGAAAAAGGAGAAAGACCAGATACAAGTCTTATTTCTAAAATATATTTGGAGTCTAACACAAGACATCTTGTTAAACTATTGTCAACTAATAGAAAAAGACTCTTAAGTGAGATGGACCAAAGCAACTTGGAACACAGAAAAGCAATTAGTAAGTTTTATTTAGTTTTTAAAATTAGTTGGTTTTTTAACAACGTAAAGTTTTTCCGTTGCCCCTAATATTTTAGCATTGTAATTTGCGTTCATTAATTGCAATATATATTTACCCGAGTTTCTGGCAGAGTTTTTAATAGTTTAATAGTTTTTAATAGATTGTTCTAAAGTAATAAAACGTATGCGTCTGAGCTTAAGGGGTGCTGAGAAGAATGGGGTAAGAGACAGTTTGCACCAAAGGAGTGCTAAGGAAAAATAAGGTAAGTGAAAAGATTTTTCACTGATAATATAGGTAAATTCAAAAAAACAAGGTCGTTTTTTCAAGGTTCCTGTCCTAGGCGGTGTGAAGGCTCTTGGTAGATCACAGCTTATTTATCTGATGACAATAGGTGAATAATAAAATTTTAACGTTATCATGTATCATTGAATTCTCTTTGAGAAAGTGATCTAAAAGTTACGCTATATTATTAACCACTACTTGTATTTAATTAACTAAGTAATTGTTAGCAGTAGAACATTAAGATAGAAACATTAAACACATTTTTTAACAAGGTTATTAGTTAATTAAAAATTACCAAAATAGGGTTGGAGACCAGAGACTAAATATCATCAAGTTTTATTCATTTGACATTCAGGACATTTGCTATGAAAACATTTTTTGTTATTTTTCTAACAATTTCGATGCATTACCTAACCTCACTTATAAACGGTAGTTTTTAAAATCAATTATATTTTGTATGGGTTAGTTTATGTTTGGTCTCAATTTTTATGCGTTAATGACACACATAGGTACGTGGTACTATGCAATTAATTTTTCCCATTTAAAAATAATCAAAACTTCTTAATGAGGCTAAATGCTATAGATTAACTATCTTATAGCTTTGAGGCCATTGGTAAAGTACGTAGGCAGTAAAACCACTGATTTAGGATCCCACTTGTACGCACTCGTATGCTTACGTACGTACTCACTGTCTTTAATGCCTCCCCCCCCTCTTCTTGTACGCTTTTGTATGCTTTTAGATAACCTCATACGTACGTACGTACTTTATGGATGGGTCCTTTATTTATTTAAAAATAGTTAGAAAAACTGCTGTTGAGACAATTTTTTGTTAAGCCTCTCATTTTAATGCATAACCAAACCTCCTTTATAAACAATTGTTATCAATTATATTTTGTACGCGTTAGTTTACCTTTGGTATCAATTTTTATTCATTACTGACACATGTATGTATATGGCACTTGGCAAAGAGTTTTTCGCGTATGAAAATAATTAAAATTTCTAATTGAGATTGGAGGCCATAGTCTAAATATTGAACTTTATTCATTTGAAAATAATTACAAAAAGTACTGTTAGAACTACTTTTTATTAAACTAACAATTTCGATGCATTACCGAACCTCGCTTATAAACGATTGTTATCAACTATATTTTGTAATCAGTTTATGTTTGGCGTCAATTTTTATGCATTACTGACACATGTAGGAACGCGTTTTATTTTTCGCGTTTAAGAATAATCAAAACTACTTAATGAGGCTATCCATAGGCTAATTATCATAGAGCTTTATTCATTTGAAAATAATTACAAAAACTACTGTTAAAACTATTTTTTATTAAACTAACAATTTCGATGCATTACCGAACCTCGCTTATAAACGATTGTTATCAGTTATATTTTGTACGCGTTAGTTTACCTTTGCTGTCAAATTTGACGCATTACTGAGACACATGGGTATGTGGTAATTTGCAATTAATTATTCCCATTTAAAAATAATCAATACTTTCTAATAAGGCTAAAAGCTATAGGTTAACTATCATCAAGCTTTGATCATTTGAAAATATTTAAGAAAACTGTTGTTAAAACGTTTTTTATTTATGCCACTCATTTTGATGCGCTACCAAACCTCGCTTATAAACAACAGTAATTAATTATATTTTGTACACATTTGTTTATGTTTTGTGTAAATTTTTATGCATTACTGACACACGTAGGTATGTGGCACTTTGCAATCAATTTTTACCGTAGGAAAATAATCAAAGCTTTTAAAAGATGTTAAAGACTATAGGATAACTATAAAAGAGCTTTATTCATATAAAAACTGCTGTTAAAACTATTTTTTTATCTAGCTAACAATTGATGCAATATCGAAACTTGCTTATAAACAATGTGGCACCTATGATATGATATATAATGACACACCTATGCATGTGTCTCGTTCCAATAAATTTTTCTTTAAATAATAAATCTTTAAATAAACTGTATTTTTATATGAGATCAAAAACTATTTATTAGCATCAAATCCATAAAGTAAACGAATCGCTGAGTGTGTCACTGTTCATAAGCATAGAAAGATAATTGAATGGTTATTGCAATAAAGGCTGTTTATGATCTGAGAGTTACTGTGTTGAATTTAACATTGGGCTCTAGGGGGTGTCTAAAAAAATATAGAGAAAAGTATTGAAAATTATTTTCAATACTTTTCTCTATAAATAAAGAGCGGGTCTTAAACAGTAGGCCTCATATGCTAACACCCTAAATACAGGTCCTTTCAATGTAGGCTTTTTAACACAAAAAAATGTTAGCTTTACCCAAACCCCTGAAATAAGGGGGTCCAACAATTTTAATGACCATTTTTCGAATTGAATAAGCTTTCTTTTTTTGTTTTATTAGTAATACCAAATTGTGAAAGGTTTTCAGAATTCAAGGTTATGGGTTTTCAGGACTCAGGGCCACAAGTAAAGAGTTTTTAGAATTTAGTGTTAAAAAACCCTGCCAAACAGTTTTTTTTTGAAGGGAAGCCTCCGACCCTCTATTCATGGCACTGCCAATGCCGACCTTCCTCAGTTAAAATAGTCATTTCTTCATTCATCTTTCTTGAAAAACGTGTGATCGCCTTTATAAAGATAAGTAATAAAAACATACATAAAAATAATAATAAATAAAAAGTTTAATAAATCATAAAACCAATTTTAATTACTATTAAGAAACTTTTCTTATTTTAAATTTTACTAAAACTTTGAGTATTATTAATTCAGTAAATACCAATTTTTGAAAACCTATGACGTAGTTTCTTGGAACGTTAATGGGGAAAACATACTTTTGAAAATTCAATTATATCAACTTATTGGCCTGAGAAAAATGCACAAATTAAACTATAAAAATACAAAACAAATTCATAAACGAAGTTTACTTTATCATATTAATGTATAAAATGATTAATTAATTGAATTATATTAAAATTATGCCTGGTTCAATAAAGCGGTGTTTTAGGAAGAGCTGATAAGTCGGTATTAGTTCCTATGTATGTATGTATGTATGTATGTATGTATGTATGTATGTATGTATGTATGTATGTATGTATGTATACTCATAGTTTCATGTGTTACCACCTTCATCAGGCAAGTAGTAAAATGTTAATTTTTCTACGATTTGTTTAGTAAAATTTACAGGTTATATATATGTTTTAGATCGTTTAGGG